TGGTCATAAAATTCTGTAACATGTCTTTTGATGCTTTTCGTGCTTCTGCAGGCTAGACACTGCCCACAACCAAAAAAACCTTCTTTTTGAAAAAAAGGAGTAGACGTATTGTCTTTTATATGATTATGAACCAATTTTTGTTTTAAACTCGGGGCTCCTCTATAGATTAATCTAGGTTTCTCTGGTAATATAGAATATAACATCGGATCATTCCTTAATATAGGCCAATGTTTATTTATAATTTTTTTGATTTTATGGCTCTCTTGATTAAAATTGCAGATAAACGGTATATTATTGTCTTCATTTTTATTTTTTAATTTTTATTTTAATAGAGTAGATCTCTCCATTGTTGTTACTTCTTTTATGGTGTCCAAAAGGGATATTTCTCCATATCCCTTATTTATAAAGTCCTTTTTGATCCTGGTTGCTTGAATTTCAAAAGTGCTTACATCTGTGCAATTTCTACGAATTCTCATAAATTGTGCCTTTGGTATATTTTTTAACCACGGTGAAAAATGACAACTGTTTAGGTAGATGTAATTATTAACATCTACCGATTTGAAATAAGTTTTTGTTTTAATGTGATTATTTTCTATAATAATTGTTAAATCTAAAAAATTCACACTGTCCATACTGTATTCTGTAGTTAAGATGACCCCCCAATCGTTCGTATTTAAAAAGTTTAAAAACATTTTTAGAAGGTCCTCTGAGCCATCCCAAATTAGAAATATATCATCTATGTATCGTTTATAGGTAACGAGGTTCGCTCCCCACTCTTGATTATTGTTAATGTATTTCGTTTCCCAGTATGCCATAAATAAGTTTGCATAACTTGGAGCGAACCTCGTTCCCATATCGGTACCGACCTTTTGTAAAAAGAAATCATCATTGAACCAAAAATAATTGTTTTGTAAAATGAGTTCTATTCCTTCCATGATAAAATTTGATTGTTCCTCTGGATAAGTGTTGTTTTCTGTGAGAAAAAATTTAACTGCCTCCAAACCTTTCGTGTGAGAAATGATGGTATAGAGGGAATTGACATCTGCCGTTACTAAAATGTAATTGGGTTTCCATTGTATATCTTGTAGTACCTGTATTACGTTTAGTGTATCTTTAAGGTAATTTGGTGTTTGTTGGACAATGGGTTGTAAACATTTATCAAGGTATTCCGATAGTCTACTGGATATGGAATCAATTCCTGAGACTATTGGTCTACCCGGAGGTTTAGTAGGGTTCTTATGGATTTTAGGAAGGTGATAAAAAAACAGGGATTTTTGGTTTGGTAATGTTAAGATATCTATATTCTTTTTCATTTAATACTTCCAATTCTTTCCCTTTGAGTAATAACTTGTCAAATTTTGTTTTTATATTGATTGTAGGGTCTCCAGATCATTTTTGATACGTTATAATATCATTCACCAGTCTGAGGCCTTCTTGTAAATAATCATCAGTTTTCATAATGACAATTCCACCCCCTTTATCCGCTGGTTTGATGACTATATTTTTATCTTTTTGGAGGGTTTTCAAGGCTAGCCATTCTTTTTTACTTAGATTCATATTTTTCTTATTTTTAATTTTAATCTGATTTATGTCTTGCATTACTGATTTTTCAAAAGCAATCATTTCTTTAGATATGAAATTTGTAGGAAAAAAAGTAGATTTATTTTTAAGATCTGTATGGACATATTTAGGAGCAATGTTTTGAAGTGCTGGTTTTTCAGTTCTCATAAAGCATTTTTTTAGACATAATTGTCTTTTGTATTTATTTAGGTCTATAAATACATCAAATTTATTTAAAGGTTTTGTGGGTACAAATTTTAATCCTTTATTTAGGATATTTTGATGTGTCTGTGGTATTGAATTTCCTGTCAGATTAAAAATAATAGACTTAGTTTGAGTGATGGCTTTTTTTTATCTTTTTAAGCATCTTTCCTCCCCGGGTTCCTCTCCTCTTAAATTCCTTTGTCTTTTTGGAGGAGTATGTAGAGGTAAGGATACATCCTGGGGGGATTGGCCAGCTTTGTATTTGCCTTTTTGGCGTCCCTCCTGAAAAAAATTGTTGTCCTCTTTATGTCTATCAGATAGAACCTCAAATCTGTTTGTAGTAGGGATATAGGTTTTTTGAATCTCCTTCGTGTGTCTTATAGGGGAAAGTGATCTATCTCTTTCTCTTCTTCCTAAATTATTTCTATTGTGATTTTGTGTCTGTACAGTTCTTTTGGGTCTTAATAGTTGTGTGGAAAATCTTGTATGAGGTGATCTAGTGTGTGTATGATACCTCCCATATGGTGATTCTCCTTGTCTTGGACGTGAGTGTATCCTATGTCGGTCATCATATTTTACTGCATTTGCATAACTCATTGTTTGATGATGTTGTAAATGATCACCTGTATGATGTTGTCTTGAATTCTGTTGTCTCTGTGTATTTATATATTTATTTTTAGCAGCATAAGTAGTAACCTGATTATTGTCATAATCATATCTATCTCTTTTATACTTTTTCTTTTTTATATTAATGGTTTCTGTTTCCGTTTTCTCTACCTGTTTTTGAATAATTTTTGTAATTGTTTCATATTCCTCCGAGGATGTGTTATTTAGGAGTAGGTTTTGGGTCTCATTTATATCTTTATCCAGTTTTGACAAGGTAATTTTACTTCTTTTGATAATCATTTGCATTGTTGTAAAGGAGAAATTTTCTAGCATCTCCTGCCATTCCTCCATAAACTCTTCCTCTCCTTTATCAAAAGTGGGATATTTATTATATCTAGGACTAAATGCAGATTTTGAGTTATGTAATTTTTTATAAAATATAAAATATAAAACAAAGAGACACTTTTACCATCAGGATCAACATTGTTTTTTACTTCTTGTTTATGTATTTTTTACTAACCATCACTTAATCTTTATTATTATTATTTTTTATGACCACAATGCCATTTATTTACTACTATACATATTAATTTTATAGATCTATCCTTAATTTTTATTATTTTTTTTTATTTTTTATTTGTATTTTCATTTATTATCAATTATTTCTATTATTCATTTTTTTTTATTATTTAACTTTATATATTTATATTTTCATTTATTTTTATTATTATTTACTTTTTTATTTTATTTTATTATTTTTTTATATTTTATTATTATTTTTTATTTTTTATTATTTATTTTTATTTTTATTTTCCTTTTCATTTTCATTTTTATTTATTATTCTTATTATTTTTTTTATTTATAATTATATTTATTTTGATTTCTTATGTTTTATTTTAATTTTATATTTTCATTTTCATTGATTATTATTTAATTTCAATTTAGTTACATTATTTTATTTTTAGATTTATTTATTTACTTATCTTTTTAATTTTATTTTTATTATTATCTTCATCTCTTTTTTTATCTATAATATCTATATATCACTAAGATGCACTTTATAACATTAACATTTTTAATTAATTTCCATTTCTTGATTTATGATTTTGTTTTTTATTTAATATTTTTTACAACCCCTTGTTAATATTATCTAAATTGATTTTTTTAACACCATTTATTTAATCATTAAGTTTATCATCGGTTACTTAATAGTAAAGATTAATTGATAAATAAGGGAAATCTATTTCTACTTGTATCTATGAAAATGGTGCTGTTTACACACTTAATCCCTAGATTATAAGAACAACAGAAATGTATGGTCAATTATTGTATTTTTTTCTTTTATGTGTGCCATATCATTATGAGCCGATATGGCTCGAATGTATACTTTGAAATAAGGAGCCCTTTTCGCTGTGGGGCTTAATACGCGGACCGGAAGTTACGCACGAAGCGAAAAGGATGATGGACCTTGTAGTGCCGAAAATACCGGAAGTGACGCGACGGCAAGTTAAGCGCATCACGAACGACGTAGAATCACGAGGATTTCGGCGGGAATACGTTCTTATTTAAACACAGAGACAATAGAAGACCTGTAAAGCTGACTGAGGAAGCCGAGAAAATCGGCGAAACGCGTTTTGGCTTAAAGTGGACTCAATACTTTTTGTACTACCCATATTCTATAATTTTGTCTTTTAAAGAACCTTTTTTATTTATTTTTTATTTGTTATTTTCTATTAATGTACTTTTTTTTTAATTCTTTATTTTATTTGTGCATATAACAATCACATCAGGCTTACAATGCCACAACAGCTAGGGTAAGCATTTTTGTTAACATGGTATTACATGAGTGAGGCATTAGCGGTTACTGCACATTTTTTATATATTAATGTTGCTTGTCAAGGAATTTTTTCTATTCTGCTTAAAAGGAAAGGTAAGATACGAGATTAGACAGAGCATAATAGCATACATTTAGCACTAGAGATTTAAGCATTGCTATTGCAGAGTATGCACAGGTAGTAGGTAAATACTGTGAGGTTTACTGTAAGAGTAGTACAAGCGAGGTATGCCACCCTGAGTGAAATTTAGTAGCATGTGCTAGTGTGAAGATATTTGGGACAACTGGCCCAGACAGCAGTTAAAGTACACGTTCAGCAGAAATGTCAATCTTAGCATACAGTTAGGTGAAGAAGGGATGATTTCTCCTGGCTGTGTGTGATGTGAGTGTGAGTTAGATGGCCCTCTGTGCACTCAGACTATGCCCGTCATGGGCAGGGTACAATACCAGGTAATGGGGTGGATCAGGAGGCATATTGACCCAGACAAAATCGATACAGAGTCCATGTTATAAGGTTTCTTCTTCGATATCCCCTGCTCTCCTCTCCCTGGTTTATCCTGCTTGATTTTCCAGCTGCCGGCTCTATAGGGACCCCTTGCTGATGCAGGCCTGCGCTTCCCGCCTTCCATGCTCCGCCGACCTGGTCTTCTCCGCCATTTTCGCACTGTCTTTGTGCCACGCCAAGTTTGAGGATGCCGGAGACCGGGTTTAGGTGGGTGATCCTGCGTGGTTTGTAGGTCGGGTACCGGTTGTCGGAGGGACAGTGTCCCCCAAAAGTCAGAAAGAAGTTTGTCCAGGAAGGACAGCGTTCTGGACATCACACCTCCATAGCCAGGCGTGGGGTCCTCGGCATCCGCCATATTAGGTCTACCATGTGTGGTATCATTGCCGTCTGAGTCAGATTCGCACAGCCCCAGTAAAGTGAGTGAGCCTCCAGGGTGGGGACCGGGATCTCCCCCGCCGGTCCATAGGGGGGGGTAGCAGGGCACCATCAAGATTTGGATGTAGGTCCGCCTGAGCTTGGCTGGGAGAGCGGCCGCCTCTCCCTTCCACTATGCTTGCTAGGCCTCAGTCCAGCCCGTTGAGGGCTTAGTCTGGACGGCTGCTGTTAACCGTTCAAAGCCCGTCACCTTTCACCTGACGTTCAAGCTTCGCAGGCTGTCTTAGAGAGAGCACCAGGACTACGGGTAAGCGGCTTAGTTTCACTGATTTTCCAGGAGCTCTCTGAAAATGCATCCAGCCGCCATCACAGTCAGGCCCCGCCCCCCCTCTATTAATGTACTTTTAAAGTTATTTCTCTCTCTCTCTATATATATATATATATTTTTATACATTGAATAATAATAAACATCCCCCTTTTTTTCATCATTCACTGGATCCTGCAAATAATTCCAGGGAAGGGGTAGTGTCACCCCATAAATTGACACTAAGCCGGTATACTTAGAGCCAGTTATCAAAAGGCTCTAAAAAAGGTGAGCACTTTAAAATTCTATATTTTAAATATTACCATCACTGGAGATACTACACTTAGTGTGATATATCTGTGTTTTCCATACATGCTGTGGAGAGGAACACACCTTTACCTGGAGAGAGGGGTCGTGTGATCTACCCAAAAAGACACAAGACGCTTGGAAGTTTAGAGCCTATAGACTAGAAAAGGCTCTAAAAAATGTGAGTTTAGACACATTTGGCACTTACATATTGCTTTACCTCAATTTGTAACATGTTGCACTATTATCTGTATATTTGTATTTTTGTTTCTTTTTATGTATATACCATCCTGAGATCATTGTAGAGGGTAAGTGTTTTTTGAATTATTAAAAAACACATTTTCACCTCACATTATAATATAGCACTGCACTCTTTAAAAACTGAGGACCTAATAGGTGGAAACACCAGTAAGGCCTTACGCTTTTCTTTGTGTTCTTTGGTGAACTGCAAAAATTATCTTAGTCAGCAATACTTTCAGTTCAGCTACATACGTTGAAATTCCCTTTTGTAACAAACAAATTACTAACACCACTACATTCTAAAATAATTTTTTTACAGTTTATTGCAATTGTTTCATGTTCGTAAGTATGAGGGAACCAGTAGAACCCCAGCTTTCTTTGACTGGTTTGTTATGGATTCTAGCATGCAGGTTGGACTCAGTTACTACTGCAGATTTGTACACTTTTACTACATGGATAATATTAATTTACACAGAAGACAAATGTCTTCCAAGCACTTCCAAGCAGTTATGATTATCAGTCTTTAGAACAAAAGCAAGAACAATAGTCAACTTTTTTCTCAGTCGACTCACTCTGTTTTGATATGAAGAAGTGAGACAGTGGTCGGATAGCTCCGCACATTATGACTACACAATGATTGCTAACATTTCCAAAGTTAGAAGACAAAATGAAATGAATGGTAATGCAGAATACTTAGGCAATTCCCTTTTTATAGTTGCATATCTTTTACAAACTTTTTGAGCACATTGATTTCTGTAGGATATGCTGGAGAGCTATATGATGGTAATCAGAAACAAGGACAAATATAAAGCATTGTTTTCAAAAAGAGGTACTCTATAATTCCTCTTTTTGGTTGCACAGACTGATCTGTAGTTACTAATAGAGTTGAACGGACACCTGGATGTTCGGGTTCGGCCAAACTTCGGCAAAAAGTTGCCCCGAACTTGAACCCGAACCGGAACCCCATTGAAGTCAATGGGGACCAGAACTTTTGGGCACTAAAATGGCCCTTAAAAAGTCCTGGAAAGGGCTAGAGGGCTGCAAAAGGAAGTAAAATGTATTGCCTAAGTATTAATATACTTACCAAGTGGAAGAAGAAGAATGTAACACTGTATACAATTTTAAATAAAAAGTATACAATCCTAGCCAGGATTCAGCTGTAAGCATTTGCAACACTTATAACAATCAAGGAACACACATTCATATAAAATGTAAGTTACTTGGCCAGTCAATGTAATGACAGGAATGAATAAGTAGATAACTCCCTAATTCCCACGGTATTAGGGAGCTACCTACCTGAATTGGTCTTTCAGCCAAATTTACTAATACTAAGTAAAGTATTAGTAAATTATGCCCCTACTCGCTATACCGAGTAGTGGTATGTCTATTAAACAAACAAAAAAAGGTTCCCCCCACCTGAGCCTCCAACCCTAAAGGGCGGTTAGGGGCCCTAAAGTAAAATAGGGGGGGACCTGTTGTCCTCCCCCTGACCCCACCCGGCCCCCACCCATGGGCAGTGGGTGAGGGCCCTAAATTCGAATAAGGGGGGACCTATTGTCCTCCCCCCAGCCCCCACCCCTGAGCAGCAGGTGGGGGCCCTAAATTAGAATAAGGGGGGACCTAATATCCTCCCCCTGGCCCCCACCTGTGAGTGGTGGGTAGGGGCCCTAAATAAAAATTGGGGGGGACCCTATGTCCTCCCCCTGGCCCCCACCCCTGAGTGGTGGGGGCTCTAAATACCAATTAGGGGGGACCTAATGTCCTCCCCCTGACCCCACCCCTGAGCAGTGGGTGGGGGCCCTAAATACCAATTGGGGGACCTACTGTCTTCCCCCCTGTCCCCCACCCCTTAGCGGTGGGGGCCCTAAATACCAATTGGGGGGACCTAATGTCCTTCTCCCCTGGCCCCCACCCATGAGCGGTGGGTGGGGGCCCTAAATAAAAATTGGGGGGACCTAATGTCCTCCCCCTGGGCCCCACCTGTGAGCGGTGGGGGCCCTAAATACAAATTAGGGGGGACCTAATGTCCTTCCCCTGGCCCCCATTCCTGAGCGATGGGTGGGGGCCCTAAATACCAATTGGGGGGACCTAATGTCCTCCCCCTGGCCCCCACCTCTGAGCGGTGGATGGGGTCCCTAAATACCAATTAGGGGAGACCTATTGTCCCCCCCTGGTCCCCACCCCTGAGCGGCGGGTGGGGGCCCTAAATAAAAATGTAACCCCCCCAGGTGACTAGGGGTCCCCAAACCCCTAGTCACCCCCTCCCCCAAAATATTAACCCCTACCTGCCCCTCTCACCCTAAAAATAATGAGGGGGGACCTTTAACTAAGTACCTGTAAAAATAAAATAAAACTACCTCAGGGGTGGGGGCCAGGGGGTAGGACAATAGGTCCCCCCACCTTATTTTAATTTAAGGCCCCCACCTGCCGCTCAGGGGTGGGGGCCAGGGGGAGGACAATAGGTCCCCCCTTATTGGTATTTAGGGCCCCCACCTGCCGCTCAGAGGTGGGAGCCGGGGGAGGACAATAGGTCCCTACCCATATTTTACTTCAGGGCCCCACCCACCACTCGGTGGTGGGGTCTGGGGGGGAGGACAATAGGTCCTCCCCCCTTTTCAAAACGCGCCATTAAATCGGCGAACACCGAACTTGAACCCGAACTGTTACTGAAATGTCTGGGCTCGGGTTCGGGGTCAAAAAATCGTAATGTTCGGTCAACTCTAATTACTAACTAAGCAAGTATAGAGCTGTGAACATATCTCACTGTTTAGCCACTACGATAATTATAAAAGAATGGAAATCAAACATCCTTTGGTAGCTGACCCTACAGGGAAAATATGACAAGACTCAGTGTCTCCCATGGAGAGTGGACAGAAACTCCATAATGCATCCCATTTATACACAGCACAAAAAACCTTTTTAACTTGGTGCCAAGGTCACATACTATCTAATGAATATATCATTCTCTTTACAAAGAAGATTACATTTTGTTCACAACATATTCAATACCCTTCATGTCTTCTAACACTCTCAAGAGATAATGCAAGTGAATAAAGATAACTTAATGTAATAAAACTTGTCACTTACTTACAGAAAGATAAAGTTAACACATTCAGTGCCAAGAGGATCGGTTTCCAGTTCGTTGCCTTTCTGTTTATTGTTTTTAAAGACTGTGAATGAACTTTACATAAAAATCTTTGATTAACATGAGATTTCTTTCATAGTGGACAAAAAAAAGATATATTTTATTATTTTTGTATTCGTAATAATGGCTTTCTAAGGTGCCAGAAGCAAAAGAAAGAAGAAAATCCAACGGAAACTCAATTTCATATCTTTTCCAGACAGTCATTGATATGTTATCCTAAGGCTGTCCAAGAAGACTTCGTTATTATTGTCTGAGATATTGCACAGTGCAAGTGCAGTGTTAAATAAACTTCCCTCTATAATATCTAATTACAATACATACATGAAGTATTGACAATAGACAATTTGCTAGACCTTTGATAAAAGTACGGTTTTTCAGAGTTAGATTTTCTAGGGGTTTCAATAGCTTTACAGAAGTGAACAAATATTACCTTTAAGTGGTTTACCACACTCCTTCCCCCTCCTTTCCTGATCTTCTTTCCCCTTTACTAATGTTTCATAAAGACGTTTTCTTTACCCCCCCACCCATACAAGGTTCATTGATAAATAGAAAAAATTATCAAAAAACAGATACAGTAATAATAATATAATTACATCATCATAATTACATCAGTCGGGCAACTATAGGCCAGTAAGCCTTACTTCAGTAGTGGGGAAAGTGATGGAAACCATGTTAAAGGATAGGATTGATGAACATGTAAAACACATGGATTTCAAGATCAGAGACAACATGGGTTTACTTCAGGGAGATCATGCCAAACTAATCTTATTGATTTTTTTGATTGGGTAAATAAAATTATAGATCAGGGTGGTGCAGTAGACATTGCTTACCTAGATTTCAGTAAGGCTTTTGACACTGTTGCACATAGAAGGCTTATCAATAAACTGCAATCTTTAAGTTTGGATTCAAATATTGTTGAATGGGTAAGGCAGTGGCTGAGTGACAGGCAACAGAGGGTTGTAGTTAATGGCATATATTCGAAGCTTGGACTTGTCACCAGTGGGGTACCTCAGGGATCTGTACTTGGACCCATTCTCTTTAATATTTTTATTAGTGATATTGCAGAAGGTCTTGATGGTAAGGTATGTCTTTTTGCTGATGATACTAAGATATGTAACAGGGTTGATGTTCCAGGAGGGATAAGCCAAATGACAAATGATTTAGGTAAACTAGAAA